CACGTAGCACATACACACCACGCACACACACCACCATGCACACACACACACCACCACGCACACCACCACGCACACACATGCGCACACACCTCCACCATGCACACGCACACCACCACGCACACCACCACCACCATGCACATACACCCCCACCACACACCACCACCACACACACACACCACCACCACGCACACACATGCACACACACCACACACCACGCACACACACCACACACCACGCACACACAGCACCACGCACACACATGCACACACACACACACACACCACGCACACCATGGGCTGCACTTCCTGCAGGGCGCAGCACCAAATACAGAGCCCCCGACTGCACGTGGGACACTAGAGACCCGAATGGAGGTGTCTGGTCTGTGGTGACTGGTCTGTCCCCTAGGCTGGTGTCAAGAATGACCAAGAGGGGCTGGAGAGACGGCTCAGCGGTTAGAGCACTGACTGCTCTTCCAGAGGACCTGACTTCAATTCCCAGCACCCACATGGTGGCTCTCAACCATCCGTGATGAGATCTGGCGCCCTCTTCTGGCCTGCAGGGATACATGCAGGAGAACACTGTATACATAATAAATAAATAATCTTTAAAAAAAAAACCTGACCAAGTGAGGGGGCTGGGGAGGCGGCTCCGCGGTGGCTGCACTTGTACAACATGAAGACCTGAGTTCAAATCCCCTGCAACCACATACAGGTACATGCCTGAGCCCTTCCCCCATGCTGTGTGGGAGGAGACAGGGGGATGGCTGTGACCTCCTGCCCCTAACTCTGGGGTCTGCAAGACCCTGTCTCAAGGGAATAAGTGAGGGGCTGGGGGCGTGGTCAGGGGGCAGCCCCGCCCAGAATCCCCAGTGAGGGCTGGGGGCGTGGTCAGGGTGGAGCCCCGCCCAGAATCCCCCAGTGAGGGGCTGGGGGCGTGGTCGGGGTGGAGCCCCGCCCAGAACCCCAGTGAGGGGCTGGGGGCGTGGTCAGGTGGAGCCCCGCCTAGAGTCCCCCAGTGAGGGCTGGGGGCGTGGTCAGGTGGAGCCCCGCCTAGAATCCCCCAGTGAGGGCTGGGGGCGTGGTCAGGTGGAGCCCCGCCTAGAGTCCCCCAGTGAGGGCTGGGGGCGTGGTCAGGGTGGAGCCCCGCCTAGAGTCCCCCACTTAGGGCTGGGGGCGTGTCCAGCAGTGTCCAGCGCTAGGACCTCGCTCACCCCCAGGACCGGCGATGAAAATTCCCCTTCTCCTTTCCTTCACTGTTTCTCACTTCACAGCCCTGGGGCTGGAACCCGGAACCTCGCGCTCGGCCGCAGTCACTGAACGCAGCTGCCCCCGAGTCCTCAGACCCAGGACCGTCTCCTCGCTCCTCCCCTTTCCGTGGCCCGGGCCCCGGGGCGGCTGTGAGCCGTGACCCCGGCTCGGTGCTGTGACCCCCCGCTCGGTGCTGTGACCCCCCGCTCGGTGCTGTGACCCCGGCTCGGTGCTCTGACCCCGGCTCGGTGCTGTGACCCCCGGCTCGGTGCTGTGACCCCCGCTCGGTGCTGTGACCCCCCGCTCGGTGCTGTGACCCCCGCTCGGTGC